GAGGGGGGAGGGGGAGGGGGAGGGGGGAAGATTTAAACAGTCCTATTTCTTCCCAGGGAACTGTTTCGTAAAGTGCCCAATTGACAGCCTGGCAGAGAATATGAAGTCTGAAATTTCATGAAAAAAATGAATGACAGTGCTGGGTTTGGGGAAGGCCTGTAATCTCAGAACTTGGGGTGGGGGAGGCAGGAAGATCACCAGTTTTACACCAACCCTGGGCCACATAGTGAGACCGAGCAGTGAGGAAGGAAGAAAAGAAAGAAGAGAGGGAGTGAGGGAGGGAAGAGATAACAGCTGTAACCAAATTATTCAAGGTCATATTGTTGAATAGATTCATAAATGCATGTGCATTTTCAAACAGTGACTCGAGGAAAGAATTTAAAATTCTTTAAATTTGGGGCTGGAAAGGTGGCTCAGTGGTAGAGCGCCTGCCTTGCATGCCTGAGGCCCTGGGTTCGATTCCTCAGCACTATATAAGAAAAAAGAAAAAAGCCGGAAGGGTGCTGTGGCTCAAGTGGTAGAGCACTAGCCTTGAGCTGAAGAGCTGAGGGACAGCGCCCAGACCCAGAGTTCAGGCTCCATGGCTGGACCCCCCCAAAAAAAAATTTCTTTAAATTTATTTAAAATACCCACTACACATATTCAACAACACTCTACATATACATTAGTTTTACCATATGTGTGATAGTCTGCTATTGTAACTCTATACAAAATAACCTAAATAGCTTGAAGAAAAAAAACAACACGATATGCAAATACCACTACCAGCCTACTGAGGATGTATTTCAGGCTGGAATGAATGCATAGTCTGCTGGAAAAATGCCAGGTTAGGTTTAGCTTTAGATCTGGTCTCAACAGAAAGCACAATGGTGGGTAATCAAAGTATTTTTCATAGACTCCCTGATATTAAACAACCTGTTCTATAGGGACAGCACAAGGGAGAAGAGAGGCAAACTGGAAAAAACAAAAACAAAAACCCTAGGCAGAAACCTGCTCTTTGCTATTAAAAAAAAAACATTAGCAAGGATGAATAAAGTACTAAGAACCACCTAGGAACCAGTGGCTCACACCTGTAATCCCACCTACTCAGGATGCTGAGCTCTGAAGTTCGCAGTTCAAAGCCAGCCCAGGCAGGAAAGTCCAGGAGACCCTTATCTCCAATCAACCACCCCAAACCGGAAGTGGAGCTGTGACTCAAAGTGGTTAGAACGATAGCGATGGCCTTGAGCACAAAAACGCAGGGTCAGTGGCCAGGCCCTGAGTTCAAGCCCCATGACCGGCCACCCCCCCAAAAGTCATTTAGGGCCTAGGGGTGGTCAATCCATCCCATTGCTGCATTCGCCTGGTGGACGAGAGGGTAAATTGTATGGTGGGCTACTTGGGTGGAACTCGAAGCCAAGGACCAGGTAGGGAGAAAGGGCAGCCTGGTGGGGTCCACGTCTTAAATACCCCAGGAGGATCCAATGTGCAAGATTTCCAACTTGGGTTCCAGCAGGGCGCTCGAGAGAAGGGGGTACCGTGTGGCCGCCGCCTGCACGGAGGCCACGGCGGGGGAACCGCGGCCCGGCCATTCAACTCAAGCCGACGATCGCACACGACAACTGAGCGAGACGAGCGACTTGGCCCCCGAGTGTCCCCGAGGGCGACCCCCCCCTTCCCGGCCATGTCACTCCACTGGGGCCGGCAGAGTCGAAAGGTCTGGAAAAGCGAAGCCATCTGGACAGGGGGACAGCGAGGGAGACAAGTGGAGAGGGGCTGGGTTGATTTTCGTGGGGGTGGGGGACCTCAGGCGCGGCCTGGCAGAGCGGGACGCGCAGGACCCCACTTCCCCCGGCCCCCCGGCCCTCCAGGCCGGGCCCGCGGCGTCCGGGGTCCGGCAGTCCGCCAGACGCGATCCGCTCCACTCACCCAGCTCCTCCGCCTGCAGCCGCAGCGGAGCACACACCGCCAGCAGCAGGGCCAGGAGGCCCGGCCCCGCAGTCCCCGCCAGCTCGCCGCCCCCTGAGGCCCCGCCGGGCGCCAGCTTGGCAGGTTCCACCTTCCCCTCGGCCGGCGCGGCGGCTGCCCGAGCGCCGCAGCCTCCACGGCGGCAGAGCGCGGCGCCCACACTCGGCGCAGCGGCTGCCGGACTCGGAATCGCTTCGGGGCGGCTCTGCGCCCAGCGGGGAGGGGCGTGGCCAGACGTCCCCGCCCCTCAACGCGCAGTCCCCGCCTCCAGCCCCGCCCCTGAGGAAGGAGTCGCCCTCCACCGTCTGACCGCCGGCTGTGCGCGGGCGTCGGAACTGGGCAAAGCGGCAACCCAACTCTGAATCGCTTCGGGGCGGCTCTGCGCCCAGCGGGGAGGGGGCGTGGTCAGGAGGCCCCGCCCCTCTCCTGGACTCCGACCGCTCAGGGCTTCCCTCCACCTCTCCGAGGTGGCCCGCCTCTCCCTCGGGCGTTCTCCAGCGCCACCAGCCTCAGTTCTGGTGAACCTGGGGGTCCACCGGACACCTGGCGGGAGGGGCCGCCCGGGAGCCGCGCGGCGCGGGCGTCCTCCCAGCTCCTCAGCGCGTCCCCTGGCGTCGGAGCCCGCTGGGGTTGGAGCGTGATCCTGGCAGAACCTGCTGGGTTGGGCAGGTCGGGGAGAGCGACCCGGGGCACCCGGAATTGTATAAAGGCCACCGCGCCCGGCAGAACCCCAGCGCAGGACGTCCTGGGTCGCGCGCGCGCTCAGGGATCCGCCGCTGCGCTCAGCACCGAGCCTGTGGGGCAGGGTGCGCAACCGCGTGGCGCTTGGCAGAAATGAGGGATCCTCAGGCCAGCAGGCTTCAGCGCCCCTTCCCCGCGTGGGAAGCCACAAGTGTTTCCCCCTTCCTGTTTCTCCCTACTTCCTCCCGAGGTGCTAGAATAAACCCTGGTTAGAACTTTTCCAAGAAGAAGTTACTCAATCCAGGGTGTGATGCAGATTTTTCCATCGAGAACGTGAAGGTGTTCTCGCCGCACATTTATAGCTATCATTAATTATAATCAGATGTCTGGTGAGAAGCTGCGGGGGGCGGGGGGGAAAAGAATTCACTCGTGCTTCTAGGCTTGGGAAATCGGACCTCAGAGGACACAGTTAACACACCGCGGTGCGACCCGAGCGGAGGGAGGAAAGAGGCGGGTGGGGCTGGGACGTGGTGAACGGTGGATGCCCGAGGTGCGATGTAGGGGGCTGTCAGGTCACAGAAGGGGTATTTAACTTGGTCTTAAGAGCAAAGGACAGCTTGGGAATGTGGCTTAGTGGTAGAGTGCTTGCCTAGCATGCATGAAGCCCTGGGTTTAATTCCTCTGTGCCATATAAACAGAAAAAGTCACAAGTGGCGCTGTGGCTCAAGTGGTGGGGGGGGGGGAGGGGAAGAGGGGAGAAGGGAAGGAGGGAGAAAGGGAGCGCAAGGGACATCCCCAGGAGGTCCAGAAGGAGAAACAAACAAAACAAAACAAGCCCATGAACTTTGGGGAGTTGGTAGTAGAGGGTAGGTTGGAGTGTGGAGAATTTTGAGACTGTAACAGAGTGGTTGATGGGGGTAACAACAGTGGAAAGGAATGACAACAGATTAGATAAGTCCCCAGGTCGCCTTTTCATCCCCCGCGCATTGGCCTTGATCCCCCGCGCGATGTCCTTGGATTGTTACACCTGCCAGTGCCAGGTCCAGACAAAGCGTGGCCAAACCTTGATCTTCCCATATTTCCCAACAGACACTCCTTTTTGCCTGTCTCTTTTTAACTTTTAAGTTTTTGAGAGAGAAGGAGGCAGGGGAGGTGAAAGGGAGGAAGGAAAATGAACATATCCAAGGTTCTCACATGTAAAGGAGATAGTCAAATAGGTTTTTTAAAAATCATACTTACTGCCATGAGAAGATGGCACCCAGGCATCAAGATTGATACATTGAATCATTTTCCAATTCCAACTTTCCCTTTTCTTATGTTTGTCTTTTCAAGATATGAGTTTGGGCAGCTGCTGCCAGACTCTGAAGGTTTGGCCTGTGAGCATTGATGCCAGGACAAAAAAAACCATTGTTTAGAGGCAAGGAATTCTTGGGCTGAGGCAGGTGAGTTCCTAGGGTGACCTTTTTCTTCTCTGTGTTTCGTTAGAGATGCTTTTTTTGTTTTTGTTTTTTTTTTGGGTCACGTCATGGGGCCTGAACTCTGGGCCTGGGCACTGTCCCTCAGCTCTTCAGCTCAGGGCTAGCACTCTACCACTTGAGCCATAGCACCACTTCCGGCTTTTTTCTTTTTGCTTATGTGGTGCTGAGGAATCGAACCCAGGGCCTCATGCATGCAAAGCAAACGTTCTACCACTGAGCCACCTTCCCAGCCCCTAGAGATGGTTTTATATTTCTTTCCAGAATCCTTACTTGGATAAGGGGAGAGATTTAGGATCTGGTAACAATGACTATACAGAAAGACCAGCTGGATCCTATTGCTTTCATTGTATCATTTCCTTGAAAATATGAAAGCAAATCTCTAAGGTTATTTTATATCTACCACACACACACTTTATTTTTCATGTCATACTAATATTTGTGCTTATCTTTGCTAGTTCTTAAAAAAAGATAAGAGCTGATCAGGGCCTGCTTTACTTTTATGAATAAAATATGTTTTCTGTCTTGCTTAAGTAAGATAGTGTTGAAGCTGGGCACCTGTGGCTTACACCTGTAATCCTAGCTACTCTGGAGGCTGAGATCTTGGAACCAGCCTGGGCAAGAAAGTTTGTTAGACTCTTTTTTGTTTTTTGGTTGGTCGTGGGGCCTGAAGTCTGGGCCTGGGTGCTCTCCCTCAGCTCTTCAACTCAAGGCTAGCACTCTTATCACTTGAGCCACAGTGCTACTTCCGGATTCTTCTGCTTACATGGTGGTGAGGAATTAAACCCAGGGCCTTATGCATGTGAGGCAAGCACTCTACCACTGAGCCACCTTCCCAGCCCTGTCAGACTTTTATCTCCAGTTAATTACAGAAAAAAACTGGAAGTGGCATTGTGGCTCAAAGTGCATAGCTCTAGCCTTGAGCAAAAAAGAGCTGAGGGACAGTACTCAGGCCCAGAGTTTGAGATGCCCCCCCCCCCAAAAAAAGTGTTTAAACACAACTGCAAACTTCGTGTAATTCCAAAGTAGTTAGAAAGCTTCAAAATAGATTATGGTTCAATTTAATGACCTAATTAATTTTATCCTTAACACTTAGTAATCCTGGTTATGACTCAATGAAGAAGAGATCTGAGACATAAAATGGAAACCTTTATAGTCTTCTACTTCATGAACACTCTCTCCAGAAATTTGAGAACATGAATTACATAGAAAAAATGAATTATATAGGTCAGTAAGTATAATGATAGAAGAGGATTAGAATATTGCACAGAGGAAAGAGATGCAACTTGGATTTTAAAAGTCTGGACGGCTTAGTGGGGTGAAAACACTTTTCAGATGTGAGACCTGGAAAAAAAACTCAGAAATGGAGATCAAAGGGTACTTAAAGGAGCTGAACCCAATCTGCCTGTGAGCTTGAGCCTAAACCAGAGTGAAATGCAGGAACGGGATCTGGAGGCCCTGGGAAGAGGGAAAGTAGAGGAACTTGATCAAATTTGTGTTTAGAAAGATCAAATACACTGACTACAGGTTGAATATGATAAAAATAGAGAGCAGACCAATTAGAGTTTGTCCCTGGAGTAGACATGATAGAATCTAAGCTCCTTACTCAAAATAAGACCCCAAGAGTAGCCACAGAGCTTGCTGGAAACAAATACTCCTATTCCTACTCCTATTCAACCTCCAAATCTGCTGATTTTTGTTTTTACTTTGTACAACACCTGGGGCTTAAACTCAGGGCCAAGGCTCTGTACCTGACCTTTTTTCCTCAAGGTTAGCACTTTACCCCTTGAGCCAAAGCTCCACTTCCAGGGTTTTTGTTTGTTTTTGCCAGTTCTGGAGCTTGAACTCAGGGTCTGGGCACTGTCCCTGAGCTTCTTTTGCTCAAGGCTAGCACTCTACCACTTGAGCCACAGCACTACTTCTGGCTTTTGCTGTGTATGTGGTACTGAGGAATCGAACCCAGGGCTTCATGCATGCTATGTAAGCACTCTACCACTAAGCCACCTTCCCAGCCCCACTTCCAGTTTTTTGGTTGTTAATTGGAGAAAAGAGTCTTGCAGACATTCCTGCCCCAGCAGGCTTCAAACCATTATTTTCAGATCTCAGCCCCTTGAGTAGCTTGGATTATAGGCATGAACTACCTGCTAAAACAGTTTTTTTAAAGGTCAATTAAGGGTTGGGAAGGTGGCTCAATGGTAGAGTGCTTGCCTTGCATGCATGAGCCCTTGGGTTCGATTCCTCAACACCACATAAACTGAAAAAGCTGGAAGTGGTGTTGTGGCTCAAGTGGTAGAGCACTAGCCTTGAGCTGAAGAGCTCAGAGACAGTTCAGGCTCCATGACCAAAAATAAAATAAAATAAAACAAAAAGTCAATAAAGTGGTAGGAATAGTTCATACATCAATAGTTCTTATATAACATACCCCTAGAATAGCCATCACTGTGTAGTAATGGAGGAACGGGGGGGAGGGAGGGAGAGGGGGAGAGATAGAGAGAGACAGGGGAGAAGGATAGGATAGTACATGTGCTTAGTAAATGGTCCTAGAGCAATTGACATCCATAGTCAAAAAAGAAAAGAAGAGGAAGAGGAGAAGCTGAAAAAAACCTCCATCCCAAGTTTTATAACTTATTCAAAAGTCATCAAAAGATGGATTCTGGGGGCTGGGAAGGTGGCTCAGAGGTAGAGTGCTCGCCTCACATGCATGAAGCCCTGGGTTCTATTCCTCAGCCCCACATAAGGAGAAAAAGCCAGAAGTGGTACTGTGGCTCAAGTGGTAGAGTGCTAGCCTTGAGCTGAAGAGCTGAGGGACAGTGCCTAGACCCAGAATTCAAGCCCCACAACTGGAAAACAAAACAAAAAAAGATGGATTCTGGTACTCTGCATCTTGTATATACATTTATCTGATTTGGGGAAGGGAAAGGGAATAACAAAATGCTGAAACAGGACAAAGGATGACCCATCGCAACAATGATATCCACAAGACACTATGTCAGAAATGAACTTTACAACGTGGGGAGGGGAAGGAGTGGGGGAGGAAAGGAGAAAAAACAAAGGAGTGAGTCACAATGAGAAGCAATGTGCTCATTGCATTACTCTTGTAATTGTAACCCCTCTGTACAGCATCTTTGCAATTTAAAAAAATGGATTTTTGGCTGAGTGCTGGTGATAGTAATCCTAGCTACTCAGAAGGCTGAGATATGAGGATCATGATTCAAAGCCAGCCCAGGCAGGAAAGTCCATGAGACTTTTATCTCCAATTAATCACCAGAAAACCAGAAGCGGTGCTGTGGTTCAAGTGGATGGATTCTGGTCTTTTTCTGGAACCCAAGGTCTCACCTGTGCTAAGCAGCACTCTACCACTGAGCGAACCCCTCCAAAAACTGCTCCCAAAGTCCATTTCATTGGCATGTATGGGATGCAACATCTGGCTTGCTACATATCATCAACAGGGGCAAACAGGAGATTTATTGTGCGAAGAGTCCATCAACTCAACAGGCGGTGACAAACTCCTGGCTCTTGGTGACCATACTCATCTCCTCCAACCACCCTTACAGGTCATTGTGATGAATCACCTTCTCTAAATGTAGTTAGCTTGAAATATGTAGTGTGTGTGTATTATGGAAACTGATTTACAAGGTTCCTATCAACTTACTTATAGCACAAAGGTAATCTTTCCCAAATAGTGAATAGTTATTCTGTGTTCAAATGTCACAGTTATAGATTGGGCTGAAATAAAAATAGAAATCACTCTCTGAATGTAAGTAAACTATCAAAAAGTAAGTTATCATGTCAGGTGTGGGTGGCTCACGCCTGTAATCCTAGCTACTCAGGAAGCTGAGATCTGAGGATCACGGTTCAAAGCCAGCCCAGGCAGGAAATCCATGAGACTCATCT